AAGTTCCCAGCTCTCTCGTCTCCCTGTCAGATGCTTCTAAAGGAAATGTCTCCCCTGGTCATCTTCAGATCTTCAGTTAGCTTAAGTCCACAGCCTTGAGGCTCAGGGTTGGAATGGGGCCAACACCAAAGAGCAGAGCCTGGTAAGGGACAACCTCCCAGCCATCTAGATACATTGTGAGCACAGCACAACTTTTCTACTTCCAGAAGCTCCAGCTGACCCTGGTCCAAAGAGCAGTGCAAGATTCAGAAGTGCTTCCAATAACTCCAAGGCCCAGCTAGCAGATATCCTTGTTGAACCAATGCTTCTTCAAATGCTAGGTCAAGGGAAACCTCCAAAGTCTCATTGGTAACGATTTAACAAGACAGTGCAGCTGAATCTACTGTACATCACACAGGTGGAGTGCAAGGCTACTCCTAGGCCAGCCTCCCAGCATATCAGCGGACCAGCTCCCATGCCATGCCACCTAGGCTTAGGCAAAGCTGTTCCGACTCCAGAATTCCTAGGCGAGGACTGATTCAGGAAGAAGCCTAGTGATGCATGGGTCCCCTCCACAGAAGGAAGACCAGTAGATGAGGCAGGACTGGCTAAGTGAGGACTGGATGCTATAGAAATGGAGCATGCAGGAGGGGGTGGAGGTAGGCTGTAGGGGATTCCTAAGGATGAGAATTCCATTTCCAAAGAACCCCCAGGGAGGTTTTTCCCTTACCCCATCTAACCCATTTTATTAGCATACCCAAGAAAGAGAGGGTCTTCCGTTCCTGTTCCAAACCCCACGACATTTAGTGCCACTATTTTCATAAGATTTCTACCTGTGTGGCCATTCTGGAAGGCAGAAACCAGCAAAGACCAAGCCAGAGGAAGGAAGAACAGAGAGTGCTGTAGAGGGTAGCCATTCCAGTTTTGATCTGGACACAGTGCAGAGTCAAGCCCAACTTGATATTCTCCAGTCGCCCTTTCAAGTCATCTTTGACCTCACAGAGCTGAGATTAGCACCGACAGGGCCACCAGGGCCTGCTGAGCAGTGACACATGGGTCAAAGGTCAGAGCTGTGGGAGCTAGACAAAATATAGTGCCTCTTTTCCTTCTAGACCCATCCTAGGAAGATCCTGGAGAGAAAACACTTTGAGGCTGGCCCCAGGAACAACAGGTTTTCAGGAACCATCCTGAAAATCACCTGGAAAGACTCCAGCTCACATACCTAGGCAGCGAGAAAAGAATCCCCAAAGATGCCTTGGATAAGTATCTTTGCTTGATAAGCCTTCAAGGGCCCAGGGAAGAAGATGGCCCACTAGGAGGCTATTCAAGAGATCACACACAGGTCTCCAACTTGGAGTACCACCCACTCCATCCACCACCTGCCTGTCACTCTGCATTTCCATCCCCGGGTTCTCCCCAGCACATGTCTTCTAGCACACCTTAAGCTTCAGCTCGGAGTTGAGAGCCATGTCCCCCACATTCCCCACATGTCCCCTGTAGGAAATGTGGGTATGCTGTGACATCCCCCAGTGCCTCTGCCAGACTCATCCTAGATGCAGGCTTTTTCCTCATCCCTGCCCTTCTTTCCCTGGGATGCCATGTTACATCTGTATACTGGAGTATGTGGTGTGTAGGATGGGAGTTGAGCAAAGATGGGTTCAAGGAATGACCTGGTTGGAGAAAAGAGCTCACATAGCCTCATCTTTTGAGCCAACATGAATGTCCTACCTGACAAACCAAGCCATGTCCCCCCAAGTCAATAATCTTGCTGTGGTATTGTCTACAGACCCCTGCCTTGCAGTCCTTGAAGTCCACAAAGGTAAGGGGCTCATTTTCTTGGCCAGTCCTTCACTCCTCAGAATCCTCTGTCTGGACCCTCACCATGCCTAATGGTGTTTAAAACATCTGTTCTTATTCTACAATATGATGTTTACTACGCAGTTCTCCTGATCATGGCTGTCCCAACTCAAGAAAAATAAGCAAACAAAAATCTGTTTCCTTAAATAGATAGACTATGTCACCAAAATACTCTACAGTCCTCCATCTCACACATGACTTCAACCACCAGAGCCACATGTCCTATGGGCCACCCATCCTTCCTCAAAAGCGATTCTGACAAGCAGGCACAAGGTCCTGTCACTTATCTGCTGGAGGCTCCTAACACATAAATCTGAGTAGCTCAACCCTAAACACCTGCACAGGCACCTGGCTTTCTGGATGAGCCTAGTCCACCTGTAGGCACGGATCCTGAGCCGGGAATCACGCTGCTCTGTACCAGCTCTTCAAGGCTTTGCTGTTCACCCGTTCTGTTGTTATGAGTTGCTGTATATGACGGAGTCTGGCAAGCTCAGCTTAATACTATGTAGCCCACAGGGGAGACTGTGTCTCCACCTAAGAATTAGCATGCTCCCTTCTGCAGGGTTTTAGGAATTACATGGTCCATCCAGCTTCCCCTTAATCCAAGTCACCAGGAAGCTCAGAACTGATGTTCAGAGCTCTGCCAGCCTATACAGCCGCAGCTTTTGCTTGTTCCTGCTTTCTAGGGCCCTCGGTTGCCACTGCCAACCCCTCTATTGTAGTAGGCACAGGCCTATTTCAAATTCCTTCATCTGTTATATCTAATGTACACTTTTTTTGAAAAGCAGACTCAAAAGTCTGTTTCTTCACAAGGCTTTCCCTGAGCCCTGTAGCTAGCTCGATGCTCAATCCCTTTTCTAAACACTGTGAGAGCTTGTTTTCCAAACCAAACAAAAGGGGAGCCTCCCATTCCAGCTGCACACAGGCCCAATTCTCCAGGGTCCAAAAGAAGCTAGCTTCCATCCTATGTCTTCCTGAGGCCTCTGGCTTCAGCCCTGCTGCCTTCTAAAGAAAACAGTTTGAACCCAGTGCCTCTTCTTTTATCTCCTCAGCAACACAGAGCTAGAAGACTGGGCCACAGCAACTGGCTTTCAGCACACACAGACACACACATGCACGCACATATGTACTGAGGCACCTGGCTTGGTAGATCCCTCCCTCTTGAACCCCCTTTCTTCTGGTTCTGAGTCACTACTTCCTGGTTTTCCTATAACCTCCTCTGCCTCCCTGTCTTCTGTTGTACTGTTTCTGTCCCTCTTTTACATATGCATGGCATTTCCAGTAGAGCCCGCCCTGATCCCCACACCAATGGTTCCACTTATGCCCTGGCCACTGATGATGCCCCAGTCACCTCCAGTCTGAACTCCCTCATGGGCTCCATTAACCCTCCTCATTACACAACAGGGCTTTAATTATAACCAAGCACCCAAGAACACCTATATCCATCCCTTCTCTCCAGCTTCCTAAATGAGCTCCGAACCGCCAGTTGCAAGCACCCCAGATGCTACCGTAATGGTCACTATGATCCCTCAGACACTGCACATCCAACGCCACCCCCAAAGAATAATTCCATTGACTCACAGTTATTCAACTAGGAAACAAGTAATTGCCAAGCATACATCCATCCAATTAGTGTGTTGCTGAGCATTCCCCAAGGCCACACTCTGAATTCAGGAAGAGGTGCAGAGTTCCTGCCTCCAGGAGACTTTCAGACAGACAGATAGGCAGTCCGGCCAAGTCTACTTACCATCTTCCGTGAAAAGATCCACTTGTCTTCATCCCTACAGCCATTGCCTTAGTCCAAGGTGATATGCCTGCTGTCACTCAGGCTGCACACCATAACAGCCATAGTGGCGAGAAAGAGTATTACACAATCCCAGCTATAAAATGTGAGTCTTATGACCTGGGACAAGAGACTTCCTCGGTCTGTTTCCTCCCCTTCAAAGATGACCACGGTGCCTACCTCAGAGACTTTCTGCAGGGCTAATAGGTTACGAGCATGAAGCCTTTAGACAGTATCCAGACACAGTAGACAACTGAGACTACTCTAATCTTCCGTTCACCAGCACTCACCCATCACCCACCTCTGAAGTTCCCCATAAGCCCATGTTCTCCTTCAAGTCTCTCCTGACAGGCTCACTCCTAGGCCTTCTTCTCAGTCCTCAAGGCTCCATCATTCAATGACCCTCCTCGGGACTCCCGGGCTTTGTCAGATCACCCTCCCTATGTTCTCTTCTCGGTGAGCCCTAGCCATGTTCCACTGAATTGGGACCACTTCTCCTCCTATGGGGTGTGTGCTCTGTTGAGAGCAGTGTGATCTTCTCTCCATGGCCAGGACCAAGTACCAAGCACTGCATATGACATGGCTCAATAAATCAATACTCAGCCAACAGGAAAAGCACAATACTTACAAAACAAAAAAGCAAATTTCAACCAGCTATAACCAAATTTTAAAAACCCACACTTAATAATCAGGCTATACTTATTAAACAAATTTGCTATGTGCCAGGCTCTGTGCTAAGGTTTGGACATCAAGAGCACAACAATGTGGGGATATTATTTTATGCCTCGACCACAGGTAAAATAATGAAAACGCAGGAAATCTTATAAACTGATTCAAAGTCACACAGCTTGGAAGTGGTAAAGTCAGGATTTGAACCCAGCACTATCAGACTCCAGAAGCTAGTCCTCCCCCAACACTAGCTTGGCTTTGCTCTCAGTCTGCAGTGATCTGGCTCTTAGATCGCATCCCTCTGCTGGGACGTAGGCACGGGCTTCCCCTAAAAGCGGAACAAAAACCTCTGAAGGTCCCTTCCTCCTGTTAGAAATCTATGAGTTGAAATTATAAGTTCCTAGGGTAGTTTGTTTTGTCGCCCCTTGAAATACTTAGCATGAAACTGCACACAGAGTAGACAAATAATAAACCCGTGCTGAATGGAATAACTGGGTGATGGAGAGATGAATGAAAACATTAGAGATGGACAGATGAGTGGATGAATGAATGAAGTGAATAGGTGACAATTGATTTCGCCTATGACCACCGGTTTTAACTTTCTCAACACCTTCTGCTGGGCTCATTCATGGTCATAATTCAAGTGACCCTAAAACACAGCCCAACCACATGAACACTCCTAGCAGACGGCCATCGTTGCAGCGGCTCTTACCGGCACAGGTGGTCCATGCGGCACAGGGTGCGCAGTTCTAGGCAATTGGGCTTCTCCTTGTCCTCATAGGAGCAGCTGGGCAGAATAGTTTGCCGGCGACGCTCAGCACAGGCCTGGTCCTGGCAGGAGCAGAAGAGCATGCGGTAGGTATACTCGCTGGGCACACGGTCAAAGAACTGGCGCAGGGCCTTGTGGCACTTGCGGCGGTTACAGCGTTCCGTGGGCGAGATCTCGCGGTTGCAGATGGAGATGTAGGAGGAGCGGAGCTTCTTGCAGTTGTCGTTCAGGTTGCAGGCCTTGGCGGCATCCAGGCAGTGATTGCTCTTGGCACTGACCACCGGGTCTGCCCCTGTCCCTGAAGGAGGAAGGTGAACACTAGTCAGAGGTACACATGCGCACAAGGGGAGGATATGCATGGCCACTGAAGATTGGTATCGGATGCAGGCTCCTTGCCTCAGTTTCCTTGACTTGGAATAAAGAACATTTCCAAGGACGTATGGCTGTGGCGAACATTAAAGATATTAATTTGCAGGTATCCAAAGTACATGAGACAGTTCCGGAAAAGAGATATACTGTATAAGACTGTTCCAGGAAAGGGGTACACTGTTTGAGACAGTTCCAAGAAAGGGGTCAATGCAAGTTCCAATGCAAGGAGCAGTTCAGAGGGAGACTCATTCCAAGGTCTAACCCCAGCTTCAGAAGCTTGGAAGCAGGTGTTCACCTCAAAAACATGGAAGTAGATGTTCATGGCCCTGTTTACTAGGGCAAGAAATAATGTATCTGGCTCAAAGTCACAGAACAAGGGGCCCCTTGCCAGTCTTCCAGTAGCACAGTTCAGCAGGACTTTGGGGAAGTGATATCACTGGCATTTGGAGTAGGGAACACTCATCATTGAGTCTTGTCAACAAGGATGCAAGCAACATCCCAGCCACCCTCCTGACCCCTACCCTTGTAACCATCAAAACTGCTCTTCTGTATCCAGAAGGGTATGGTTGCCACTGTCACCCAAAAGGAAGCACAAGGCCTCTAAGTGTGAAGGGCGGATTACCCCAGCGTACCACTCTGATACTGCTGGATGTATGATGAACCATGAGCCAGATAGGCTGGGTCTCTTGCCATACTGTTGTGGCTTTCTACTTAATACAGTGAGGGAAATGTCTGAGGTACACAACAGGGTTCCCCAAAATCACAAGGCTACTCTGTGATGGCTGTCCCCACAGATCCTAGTTGTACCAAGCTGTCCAGCGCAGAAACCATCTGACTCTACCACCAGCTGGTTCCCACCTAGAGAGACCCTCTTGTCCAACTTGATAACAGGCAGAGGGAGGGCCAGGACCCCAATCTGCACATGCCCAACTGAGATCTTCTGGGGCCAGTCAGGTGGGTGGTCACCCAACCCCACCTGTGTTTTACAGGTAAAGAAAATGAATTCTGTGTGGGCAGGAGACTGTCACAGCCATCTTGCACACTGACAAAAAACTAGAGGCATAAGTCAGTTGCTAGGCACCGTCATATGCCAGGAGAATAATCAGCCTGGGTCAGAGGTGAGTTCTTCCACCCTGCCATGTTCAGTCTTGCCTGTGTGCCTCTTTATACAAGAACCTGCTGTAGAGTATGGAAGACTCAAAACCAGGCTGGTAGAGGCCATGACTCCTCTATGGATAGGTCTGGTGACTCAGCATTTGCATATGCAATTCCTGGTCCTCAGATTGTTGAGTCATTAAATATCTCAAAATCTATAAAGTCCTAACTCTGCATGGTGCCATGCTGGTGCTTAATACATAAAAGTATTAGAAGAAGTCCCAACTAAAGAGCCAACTTCTTAAACCAGGAAACTGAGAGGCAGAACCAGGACAGAACTAGGCCTTGTAAAACAGAGCCAGGCAGCATCAAGCCCGGGCTCAACTACTCATCAGAACAAATGATTCTTTGCTCAGTTTCCTTGTCTGCAAAATAGTACCTGCCACAAAGCATCTTTGTTAGCATGAGAAATGACTTAGAACTTTCTTTGCATCATGAATTTGCCCTGTCTTCTAGAATATTCCCATTGGCTATGTGATGACTGTGGGGGGGGAGGGGTCTCCTAGTGGTCATGTGGGTCCCTAAATCTGCCGCCCCATTTTCTGCTCCCTTTTAAAGCAAAACCACTAGTTGTCTCCCCCATCCATGTCTGGCAGCTGTTCGAACCTGCAGGCCTAGTCTTTCCAGCTGATGTATCAGCAACCCTGGACCCAGCAGCTCATTCACTTCTACCTGAATCTCCTTCCTCACTTGTCTTCATTCTGGCCTCCCTGATACCTCCCTGTTCAGGTTGCTTCGTTGGCTCTTGTTTGTGCTCCCCAGGGCCCAACCCTCCTCTCCAGGCATCTGGGGCTATCATTTTATTTCATGCCATTGCACACCATCAATCAGCCTCCTTCCACATCCTGAGACCTCTCTCACAAATCCCAGATACATCTGTTCGCCTCTACTCTACTGTTTTCATACTACCTGAAAAGCCAAGACCCTTGTGTCAAACTCAAACCACCACCACCACCACCACCATCACCACCTGACCCTCAGTGGCTCAGATAACAATCAACTTTATCCTTCTGAAAACAGCCACCCCAAAGCAGCTCATTCACAATGCATATCAGGAAAAACAGAAAGGCTACCTTCAAAACATACCCAGAAACATACCCAGAATACACCACTTCTCACTGCCACTACCACCTTCCTCCAAGTTGTCATCACCATGCCCAGTCCCCCAGCTTTCACAGCACCCCACAATGATCTTCTCTCCTCACAACAACTGGCATGAATTTCAAGAACCTAAGGCACAGAGGTGTGTCACTCCAGTGTCCCAGGACATCCACTGGCCTCTCTCAGTGGCTTTAGCATGAGCTACAAGGCTCTGTATTTGCATTGTCCAACATGGTAGCCACTGACCATTGAACTGGAAAGATTAGGAAACACACACCAGATTCTAAATGCTTATTAAGCAAAATAGTATCTCACTAGTAATATCTTTGCTTTAATCACATGTTGAAGGGATAGCATTTTGGACATGAAGTATTAAACATAGTATCAAAATTAATTTCACCTTTTTTTCCTTTTAGTGTGGCCACTAAAACATTTAGAATTCCATGTGCATGGTGCGTTGTGTTACTTTCAAGCAGCATTTCTCTATCTGACCTCGCTCCTGCTCCTCCTTATTGGTCACTCTACTTTAGTACTAGCTGCCTTGATCTTCCTGGGACAGGCCAATGGTGGCCTGGCCTTGGGGCCTCTGCACTTGGTGTGTCCCTGGTCTACAAGGCTCTCCTCTTCCCCCAAGGATTATAGAGCCATGGTGATTAAGTGGTTCAGGTCTCCTTGCTCAAATTTTAGCTGATTTGTGAGTTCTTCTTGCCTCCTGGTACACAGCACCCCTAGTGCTACATTTATCCCCCAAATGGTGTGTGTTTCCCACAGCACACATCAGCACCAGCCACATTATATACATAATTTGTTTCTTATATCAAAATAGGGCAGAAGTCATTTTATCCTCCATGTTTCAAAAGTTTGATACATGAATACTCAGTAAGTATTCCATATAAAGAAAAGAATAAATGTTACAAGAACAATGGTTTATAGCAAACGCTTGCAAGTTTGTTTATATTTTGAAGGAAGCAAAATTGATATAAACCAAGTCACTGTGGACAAGATTACATGTATTCGAGTATTAATGATGGCCTAGGCAAGAAGGGATCAGAAGAGACCCGAAGTGAACCATCCACTTTAACACTGCTTTGCCAACAGCAACCTTGTAATGCCGAGAAGAGCAATGTTCCCTCTCCTACTGTCGAAATAAAGGGGAAGGGAGTATAGGCAACAGAAAATTATTTGGTGATAAAAGGAAATGAGATGTCACGCCATGAGAAACTCATGAAAGCAGCCGGACATAAGATGCTGAGTCCATGACATTTTGGGAGAGGGAAAAGAAGAGAGATGGTAAAAAGATCAGTGGTTATCAGAAGTTGGGGAAGGGAGGGAGAGATGAGCAGGCAAGCCACGGGGTATTTCCAAGGCAATGCAACAGTCTGCATGACACTGTAACGGTCAGCAGGTAAGATGCATGTATCCAAGCCCAAGGAATATGCCAGGAGTGGATCCTAATGCCATCAGCTACACGCTCTGAGTGGTAACAGTATATCACTGCTGTCTATTGGAACAAAGCATGGCCAGAGTAGAGTGTTGGCAGTGGGGAGGACGGGGACATGGGGAGTAGGGACAGGAACCTTATATCTTCCTTCAATCAGGCTGTGAGTGTGAAACTGCCCTCAAAGCACTGACTCTCTTTAAAACGGGGATTGGAGCAGGGTATGATGGCTCCCTTCTATAGTTCGAGTGCTCAGGAGGCTGAGGCGGGATGATTCATGAGTGCAAGGGCAAGCTCGGCTACATAGTGAGTTTCATGCCTTCATGGGTTACAGAGGGAGACCCTGTCTCAGAAAAGGGGGAGAAGGAAGGAAAGAGAGGATCAAGAAAAGAGAAGAAAAAAAAACAAGTTGAGGTGAAATTAAGGCAGAAAAGAATCAAGATTTATGTTCCTGATTTATTTTCAATAAACAGCTTTTGACTAAGGAGATGACTCAGTAGGTAAAGTGTCTGCTACACAAACATAAGGAACTGAGTTTGGGTGCCCAGGACCCACATAGAAGGAAAGAAAGAGGAGAGGAGGGAGGGAGGGAGGGAGAGAGGGAGGGAGGGAGGGAGGAGAGTTGTGGGGGAGGAAAAGCCAGCCCAGCGGTGCATCTATAACTCCAGTGCTGGGAGAATTAGAGGACAGGAAGACCCTGATGTACAGTGGCCAGCCAGCCTAACCACCTAATAAGCTCCAGGGTCAAGGAGAGACCCTGTCTTAAAAAATAAAGTGGAGAAGTGACTGAGGAAGACTCTTGTTGATCTGGCCTTCACATGCACATGTGAGTGCTCACACACACACACACACACACACACACACACACACACACACAGAGGAACATATACACCACACATATACATACAACACATACAAATTTAAATAGATTCATGCATACATACATATGCATGTATATGTACCGGGTACTTCCCCAGCCACTAGGCTGCCACCTCGCTGACACAGCCAGGGACAGAAGAGCCACCCATCCATGCAAATGCTAACGCTGAGCTCTCCTGGAAGAGTTCAGGGTGCAGAGAGGAAAAGACCTAACTGGAGTTGGGGGGGGGGGGGGCGCGACGCATGGACACAATGATTTCTTTGCTAAAACTGACCCAGTGAATCTGGAGAAAGTAGGAAAAGGGGTCCTAGGCAAAAGGGGGCAGTCAAACAGGGCTGAGAACACAAAGAAAATC